CGGCTGCAGTGGAGGCTGGCGTTTGCGCGGCTACGGCAACGCCCAGAGGTGAAGAGAAGCCGACAAGCGGAGACTGAGATTCGGGCTGTCTCAGCAGAGTTTGTGCATAATCCGATGGTCGGATAAGACTGGAATGGTGCGAATAGGCGCCCAGGGGAACATGAGATGCCGTCTGAGTGGGCATGTGTAGCGGCAATTGTGATGTGGCTGGCGCCGCTGGAGGAGGCAGAAGAAGAAGCGGAGCTGGATTTGTCCGGGCTGAATGATCCTGCAGACTGGCAAGTGTGGCGGCCAGCATCAGTTCGGCAGGATGGGGCAAGTAAATTTGGCCCGGAGACAGCTGGTTGCCAACCTCCAACTGGGCGATGGGCTCGATTCTCTGACTGCCCAGACATGGCGCAGGCAAGTTGGTCGGCTGGTCTGGTAGCCGGTGCGTCTGCGGTTTGGGAAGGCTTGAAAAGAGAGCGGAAAGGAGACTCGGACCTGCGGCAACGATGTCGCCGGGAGTTGGGTTCATTTTCATCGAGCCGAACGGCGAAGCGACTGGACCGGACGCCGTTTCCGGTAGACTGGCTGCAGGGGCTTTGGGCTCTTTCACGCAGAAGTGGAGTCTTGGCGCCGCCTGGCTCGCAGCGAGAGCACCGACAGAGGATGAGTTCGAGTCCTGGTCCGGCTGACAGGAGCCTGATGGGGAGGAGGCCGGTGAAGCGTCGGCAGGTCCGGAGGGCAGCAGCAAAAGGGTGCTACTTGCGGCCGGTGGACTGATTTCAACTCGACGTGGAGGACTCTCCGAGCCGAGTGAGTCGTCGGTTGGCTCGTATCTCATGCCAGTGTAGCTCAAATGTGTGTCTGTAAGGTAAGAAGAGAAGGAGAACGAGAAAGGAGAACCGATGGCTGTGGTGTTGGTTGTGTCAGTGTTGCCGGTCGAGCTGGTAAGCATGGATATTGGCCAATTCGGCGGGAGATTCGAGCCGAGCCAGACAGGCGGGCAGGTCTCCTGTCCCAGTTGGGACAACCGGCTGTTGGGACTCGGCAGTTGCATCATGGGACTGTCGGAACTGCAGATAATTTGGTTCAGAGGACTTGAGCTTGGAGTCGTGGCTGGTGGGTGGATAGATAAGACAACAGAGTTAGTCGGTAAATTGAACGAAAATTAAATAAAATACAACTTTTCTCCATCGGCACTCCCACCACAGAATGGAATATGGGAAAATGCCTCACCTTCCTTACAATTCACATCTGTCCTGTCACTAAATGGCACTCGCGGCAGTCTGGCCTAACGCTTAGCCCGTTGAGCGTATGCGCTACCTGGGTTCGAGTCCCACTGAAAGGTCGACATTGCAATCGACTCCAGCCGGGATGAGAATACCTTTCGAGAAAGCAAGGCTTTGTGAAATTCATATGATTCTATGACAATTCAATCACCACTCCCATTATCATCTTACATGTTTTTATTAACTTCACCAAACTTACGAGATTACGCAATCGTTGTGTCATTAAACCTTTATGACACGTCTCGATCAGAGCTACTTTCGAGCTTAGTCAATCTCGGTGATGCTTTTCTTGGGTCATTAAAACTTGATGAATCAGGTATGATGTTTGGCTCATTTGTAGTTACTTCTGATTTATTGTCGGTATTGCGTGGTCTGCTTTGCATGCTAACACAATAACATCCCAATCAATAAGAAAGATAACTAACTAACCAAATCAAGATATATCCATTTATTTTTTTTCATCTTTACTCATGAGTATGCATAGCATATAAGATTGAGACGGATAGTCCTCTTAACTTCAAGATATTGCAAGATTGAGCTCCAGCTCAAACAGTAAATGAAATTTTTTCGTTTGTAAGTAGAGTTTCGAGCCCAACCAGTAAATCAGTAATATGAGTAAATGAATAAACCGAAACCGAGTCAAATTTCGGTCAACACAACAGCCGATCAAGGGTAATCTGTTGTCCTCTTTGGGAAGATAGACATACCATTCACCCCATCACCTGAAATTAGCCCAAAGTAAAGATTATCTCAACAAGTAACTGTGGAATGCTTGTTCTAGTCTTGGCTGGAGAATGGCTCTTTGGCATGTTGTTCACGCAAGCGAATTGTTCTGCAAATCTCGTTGCT